CAGAATAATGTGCCGAACGCCAACAACGGTCCCACAGCATTCACATGTTAGTGGTGATGTTTTCTTCAGCAGAAACTCTTGCGTAAGCCTAGTATGGCTGATTCGCAGACGATTGAGTACGCGTTTATCGGCAGAACAGTACTGATCGATCCACTTCTTCGTTTCCCTTTTGACCTCCTTCAGCTTGAAATCTGTCAATTGTGCCCAACGTGACTTGGTTCATATTCTTGATGGCATCATTCCTTGGTACCGGCATGACCAGGGATCCAACAAAGGTGGCCGTCCAAGTAATAAGCGCTCGATTTCCTATGGTCGAAGGACAGCTGGCCGAATCAGACAGAATGACAACACGTTCGTTTGATGCTCTCGCTGCGATGACGGCCGACTTGATTGCAAAGGCCTGAGCCGAAAACACGCTACACTGTGACGGTTTGCCAGCAACACCAGCACGGTGGGACGCACTGTATTCGGAGAATCCCCAACTTTCATCTGCCCAAACAATATGCGGCTTGGGTTTATACCACTCTCGGTTGGCGTGACGTGTCCGTACAGCGATGTATGGAAGCTGCAAATCAACCGCCGCCAGGCGATCGGTCGCTCACTCCACAACAGGAAGATCGATATTCCTGGAATCCTTCTCCATCAAACGAATTGCAACACGAATTATAGCTTGCAAAACCATTTGATCGAATGTATCGGAAAAGTGCCTGCTTCAGCCATGATCGCTGGAATCGGACTGGTGACGTACGCCCCTGAGGCGAAACGGACCATCCGGTTGTAGATGGGTGCAAGAGTCTGCACCACCGAATCCTTCACTGTACTGATGAGTCCGATAACGTAGATAAGTCGCGACGTGACGATTTCCGATCCGATACACAACAGAGAATCGCGTTGACCTCGTGGAAGTTTAGCCCCGATCATCTTCAAGATCCACAGCCTAGAGTCGCACGTGGTTTGAAGGGCAGCGACCGGTCAAGGTTGACGCCAACAACTTTCAGTCCTCGGTACAGCTGCGCGGTCGCTGCTGGGTTCTCGACGGGCGTTGGGACTGCCGTAGAAAATGCTTGATTTTGACGCGGAAATTCTGAAGCCGACGCGTTTCTCTCACTTGTCGACAGCTTTCACTGCAGTCTGTGTAGATCTTGATACAGCGGACGCTCCTTATTCCTCGATACCACCAGCAAAATATCGTAACCCGATAAATGTTCTTCCACGTTCACCCGCAAAGACCTGTCGTCGCCTCTCCCAGCTCTACATAAATTCATGCTGCCTCTTGTCCAGTCGTCCATTCGACTTCTCAGTCGTCAATCTGCGGTTCACGTTACATTGCAACAACTTCGCGATACAGTTGGTCAAAGGAATAGGCCGGAAAGCAACAGGTCCAGATTCAGAACAGTTTGGCTTCGGAATCGGTACTGTTGTTCCGGTTCGCCAGCTGATAGGATAAACATCACTACGTCAGACTCCGTTTAGAAGCTGCAACAGCGCGATTTTGACGGATGCAGGCAGACGTCGGATCTGTGGATACACTACGTCCCTACGTTGTCGAGTTCCCACAGAAGCTCATCCAGGATAAAGTCCGTGTTATATATGTCGTTGTCTACAGAACCCTCATAAAGCCACAATTGTTTCTTGTGTATCTGCTTTGATCGATGAAGAGCGATTTTCTCTTTAGATAACCACGGTCATGTAAGTACAATTCGGGCTATTTTCGCCACAATGTTTTTTTTTTATTAAATTGGATATGGTATTCGGAATCGAGTATTTCTTCGTCTTCTTCAATACAGGCACCGAAATTGAGTTGGGAAATGGATTTCCCACACTAACGGAATCGGTATTCGGCTGGATGGTATCTGGTTTGGTGAATACTGATAACCCAAAACCAAGGTTCTGGAGGAAATATTAACTCGATTTTAGGCTTGCGAAGAAATTGAGCCTCCCAACAATTATTCGCCAACGGAGGTAAAGTGTGAGGAGCACTACAGTCGTACGGTACGACGTGGTACAGATGGTCGATATACAGTCTCACTTCAGAAGGACGAAACCGTGCAAGCTAGGATGGGCGAATCAAGGGATATCGCATTCCGCCGTCTTCAAGAGATAGAACGACGATTGCTTCGGGAACCAAGGACAAATTTATGGAGGAATATTTGGAGTTAGGACACATGCGCAAAGTGAACGCTGCTGCAGAAGGAGATGTAATCCGGTGCTATCTACCTCACCATCCCGTAGTTAAGGAGAGTAGCACAACCACCAAGGTCAGAGTGGTGTTCGATGCGTCTTGTAAGACCACTACAGGAGTTTCGCTCAACGATGCGCTGCTGGCAGGGCCAGTAATCCAGGATGACCTACGTGCTATATAATAAGCAAATTCTGATGGTAGCTGATGCGGAAAAGATGTTCCGTCAAATTTAAGTAGACTGGTTGGCTGTGGTACTTCAATGCATACTATGGCGCAAGGATTTCAATGGCAGAGCCGAAACCTACGAGCTCTGTATGGTTACTTACGGTACGAAGCCAGCACCGTATTTAGCAACGCGAACCCTTAAACAGCTGGCGATGGATGAAAAATGCGCTTCCCCATGGCAGCAAGGGCAGCCATGCAGGACGTGTACATGGATGACGTTTTGACGGGTGAGGATGATGAAGAAACCGCAAGGCAGCTTCGAATTCAACTCGATCAGATGATGGAGAGCGGAGGATTTCGTTTGAGGAAATGGGCCTCTAACGCAGCTGTTGTACTGCGTACAATTTAGCGCTATCGAAAGAGGAAATTCAACTCGATCCAGATCCAGCTGTGAAAACTTTGGGTCTATTGTGGCTGCCAACAAGCGACGTCTTCAAATTCCAGTTCAAAACCCCACAGATCAGTGAGAATGAGAAGCTGTCGAAACGGAAGTTATTATCCATGATCGCAACTCTCTTCGATCCTCTTGGTGCAGTTATAGTAACGGCGCAAATATTCAAAATGTTTTACCTCGGAACTGGTTCTTCTTTCCAGGATTTGTTTCTTGGTTGAAATTAGATTGGGCGCCACTACACTACCCTAAACATCGAACATTTATTACAACTAACTACATCTATTCCAAAATCAAAACTGGTCCGGTGACCGTCTGCTCATCGAGCTGGCCCTTTGGTATCTAAAGTATTCCAATAATTAAAAAATGAAACCTAAATCTATGCCTTCTCGGTTATTGACCTATCACAAAAGTGCATATGCAATTAATTTTACTTGATCTTCTCTCCGACTGTTGTAGTGTTGGAATCGTGCTAAACACTTCAATCATCCAGACGGTGACTGTACAACACGTTCCACAGTCCCATGCAGCATTCGGTTGTGGAATTTGATGTTGAACGCACGGTTGTGATTGACTTTTTGTATTGCTCCTCAACAAAGGTCCCAACAAACATTGGAAGCCGAATAAGAGCTTACTCAGGCAAAAATATGCTTCTTCAGCTAAAAAGTTGCTTATTCAGCTTTTAATCAGCTCAAATTGTTTATTGCGGTATTATCTAGCATATACAGCGATAAGCATTGCAGGGAATATTTTTGTAGCCGAGTTATTAACGAAAGAGTATTTAGCCCGTGGCTTACAATCTCCTAAATAAAGTATTAAAAAAAATCATGGATGTTGATGAAAATGTTCAAGAAGTAAAGATTTAGGAGCTTTGTAGATGTTCAAGCAACATTAGAGAAATTTTTCCGCCTGTCAGGAATTTTTTGGATCGCCACCTACTGAGTACGGTGCTGAATACGATATACACTATTTTGACAAACAGATGTCGCGAATTTCGTCTACTACTTGCAGACTTCATCAGTGCCAAGTACTCAACACCACTTTAGTATCTGTCAAAAGATAATCAATTGTAACGGAATTTAAAGGAAATAAACCAACACACTCAAAGCAAAGGGATTCCGTTAAGAGGTTCGACAAATTTAAAAGATTGAAACAGATGTCGATTTCATATTCACTTTGGGTCCCGAAGAGACAATAAACAAACTGATTAATACACTCACCAATACTAACTTGCTTATGAAATAAGATAAAAACTGTGACTCACCTCCACCACTCATGCAAGTTTTTTTTTTAATTAAAACACGTCCCAAACTTATTTCAATTCAACGAAAGACAACCCATCTCAAGGGAGTCGTCCCTCATCTGTTCGATAATAATTGCTCTTCATGTGAGTTTTACTCTCGATTGTCCTTGTCTGGTGGATTCAATAGCGCCTGCTGGACATGAGGGTCCTTTCTCTATATTTCGTCCGTATTTTCTCTTATTATGCCACAAGTTCGGACAAGTGTCATAAACATATCCTTGGTCTTTACTCGTTACATCATAGTTTGTTTGCTTCTATCTTGTGAAACATCACCGAGGTAACTCACGTTTGAATATCATAAGCACTTTGCCGCTTATTATACTTAGCGCAAAGTTTAGAGAATAGGTAAATTCACGAACACCCCTAGTTGCCAAACCATGCACCTTCAGTCGCTGCAGTCAGTATCTCAGTAGCAAGAGGCTAGCGCCTTGAATTGACATGCCTTTCCGAAACCATGCTGTCAACGAACGGAATGTTTCCCAGTCGCATGGTTGTGCATTAATTCATTGGGGTGGGTGCTCTCCTAACCTTCCTTCCGTCATCAGTTCGCCCTCTTCTCTTCTGGTGACCCCATCTGATAACTCTGAATCCACCTCACACAGTAAAGCGGTCCGTATTTTCTTTTCGTTTCAATTTTGCAGAGTTGCCTTTTCCCTTCCACATTCAAACAAAGTTTGCCAAACATTCATAAGGGGCTCCCATTACGATTCATTGGCATTTGACCTCACACCCCCACCCCCACCTGGCCTCCGCTGATTTTGCTGATAATAACAATCAATTTATTGATTAAATATTAATTCCACCGCCGTTGACTACGACCACCGACGAAGGTGGCGATAATTGATTGGCGATTTTGGCCGACCAGCCGCAGCTTCTAATCAAGCACCGTATATTCTTACCTTTGGCAGCAAGTGTGGCACACACCGGAAACAGCTGCGTCTGAAGGCATCTCACTCGATCTCCGGCCGTCATTCCCCAGCTCATGCTTCCAGCTGTCCCGACGACCGTTTCACAAACCACACACAACGTCACTCACGCATCGTCACTACATTGCACATCTTCCCACACGAAATCACACGAGAATGGCTCGAATCACGTTCAATTATGTACTGAAACTCCAATGTAACTTTTTGGTGTAATTTTCCCGGAACCGAAAGTTGGGAAATTTTTCAGTGGAAAAATCGAAAACGCGCGCGCGAATCAATTTCGCCCTCCGGCCCGAGTCATGTTTGATCGAGGATTACCACCCGAGCCCATCGGGTGCTGTTTTGTACTCGCCACCATCGGTTTCCATCAAGAACCAGAACCCATCCAACAACAACAACAACAACAACAACAAGAACCGGAGAAAGAGTGAGAGAGAGCGGAACCATATTTATCGCTGCTGTTCTATTATGTTAGTGTCTGTTGTGTATTAGCAGAACGATGGGTTTCGCAATTTGTTTCGTTCCCTGCCTGGTAGGTACCTAGGGGAAAGTGGGGCAATATTTTGAAAATAATCTGTTGCAGGTTAAATGCTTGAAGCCTACTTCATTTTAGTCTAAAAAATTACATAGTTGAAGATGCTAATTTCAAATAACACACTAAAGTGGTAATTTTTATACGATAGATGAGGAGATGGAAGTATCGAGTTGATAGTTCCGCTAGAGTACGGCAGTGTGAAAATTGTATATAGAGAGTAGAAAGCGAGCAAGGACAACTTTTTAGGAAGGTACAAATCGGTTTGATCATCTCTCTTTACCAAACTCCCCCGTTGGAGAGGGATGGTGAGGGGTATTCCCCTTGCCACCACTGGCGAATGTCCTGGATCCTGAGTAAGTAGTTATCGTACGTGGATAATAGAATTGTTTTGTACTGCAGCTCTACTTCGCGATGGTAATTATGGTCGCTCTCAGACTTCGAAAGGAAGAAACGGTGACGTGCTTTCTTTAGGATGTTACGAAGATGCCGTAGTTCGAAGGTCCACCATGGCTTGCTGAAAACTGAATTGAACGATCGTCTTTTCCGAGGGACATAGTCGTTAAGCACTGCATAAAGCTTGTCATAGAATGCTGATAATGTTCTATCCAATGGCCCGGTTAGCGGTAAGGAATCCCAGTCAATGGCAGCTAGAGCCATTTTCAACTGGCCAAAATCTCACGAGCGGAAATCGTAGTAAAGATTATCGTCCGACTCGTTCTGTACTACTAAATCGTCGATACACAAAAGGCACGTGGTGATTGTCTACGGGCAACAGAGGCGTGGTGGCTTCAATGAGGTCTAGTCGCTCTGGAAGACTGACGAATACAAGGTCGAGAAGCCTTCCGTTCGCATTCACATATCGGTTAACTTGCTGCAAACCAGTAGCAAACATAGTTTCAGTGAGTGCCTGTTCATGGTCGGAAGAAGCGTTCAAGGGAATGAAACCATTTACATCCTCGTTCAATTGCCAATGCAAATTGGGGAGGTTGAAGTCACCCAGAGATACAATTATGTCAGCGGCAGAAGCACAGTTTGCAATATGTTGCACTGCGTTAGCGTGTGCAGAGTACAGGTCGGCACATGAGTTTGGTGGAAGGTAAATAGGTGGTCACAATTCAACAGTGGAATAGCCTCACAGTTGAGATGAGCTTTGACCGCAATTAATACTCCTCCTCCGCGAGAATGCTGACTAGTCAACGCACTACGATCACAACGGTAAAATGTATAGTCGGATGAAATTTCAGCACTATCAATATCAGCTCGAAGCCAAGTTTCTGTGGAGACGAGCACATCGTAGTAGCAGCTGGAAAGAAGCAAACGTAACTGCATAATTTTGGTTCGCATGCCTCTAACATTCTGATAGTACACAGAAATGAGGCGTTGAGAAGATGTTTTTTTCGTTTAGAATTCAGGAGCAGCGTTTTAAGGTTTGCTGTGACGGCCGGAACTGGAACATCTGTGATGCATCGACGTGTGGCTGAGTGGAAGTGAGTTGACGAGCACAGGTGGCTGGAAGCGACAAACGTTACTCGACGCGGAATGTTCATGTTGTGGGGGTACTTGCCTGCTGCGACAGAGTGGAATACCCCTTCACCAACTTCGCACACAGGACCGGGATGGCTGCAGATCGCTGGCGGTAGTGGCTCGACTGTTGCGAAGAGATTAGGGGATTCCGTGAGGCTTGCAGGCGTGCATCCCGGCGGCGTCAGTGCTGATGATGCGAGAGTAGGGTACAACGCTCGACTGGATTCGCCAAGATCATCGGAGAAGCTACGGCGACAGCTTGAACTGAAATATCCTGGCGATGCACGGCTGGAAGCGATTGGCATTACCGGAAGTGAGACGTTCATAATGAGTGTATACTTGCCTGAGATAACAGGCTGGAAGACCCCTTTACCAATATCGTACACAGGACCGGGATGACTGATGGACGCTGGCAGGAGTGGCTCGACTGTGACGAGGGGATTCGGGGCTTCCGTGAGATTTGCAGGCGTGCATCCCGGTGACATAAGTGCTGACGATGATAATGTTGATTGACTGGATATGCCATGAACATCCATGTTTACAAATCTGATGGCGATGAACGGCTGGAAGCGATGGGCATAAATAAATAAGATTGTGTACTTGCCTGTTGAAGCGGTGTGGAAGACCCCATCTCCGCACCCAAACAGAGGGCCGGGACGACTGAAGAGCGCTTTCAGGAGAGGCTGGACTGTAATGGGGGAATGAAGGTCTTCCAAATAGCTTGATTTATTGCGTCCCGGGCTAGAAGAAATCAGCTCAGATCCATAATGAGAGTAATCGGGGATGATGAAGCTTCCGGCGGTACTAAAGGCGTGATTGGTTTTTTGGTCTTCAGAGCGAAACGAAATTTTTGGAACCCGTAATCCTTGAACTCTCGAAACATCAGTCCTTCAGGCCAAGTAGCAGGGTCAAGTGCTTTGCTTTTAAGCGAAGGATCGAGTCCTATTTTGAAAGACACGAACGAAAGCGTGTTGGTGTCTTTCTCTTTCGGCACGAGCTTCACTACCGGTGGATCACTGTCAATTTCGAGATTGGCTTTCGTCATGGCGCGTACAGCTTCCACAGTGACGTCTGGGCAAATTCTGGACAGATATAGACAAAATGTTGATTCCAAATCGTTTTTGAAAATGGGAACTGACATAACATTATCCTGCGTTTGTTTGCTCAAAATATGGCAGTTATCAGGATCTCGTGCAGTTGATTCCATTTCACGGGGACGTTTAGCTCCCCTACGTTGATCGATAGTTGGCCAGAGAGAGTTTGTAGCTGGAAGGAGTTGCGCAATGGGCTTTGTATTCATTTGCTTAATCTCGGTTCGTAGCTCAGAAATAGCAGTCGAAAGCGCGTTTAAAGGTGATTTCTTATCAACTTGGCTCGATATTACTCGAAAATGAGAGTTTTGAAACAATTCGGCGCAGTTGCCATACATCCAGAACAGGTTTTTACTGTTGGATGTGAAATATGATTGTAACGCACGTGATACTCCTGAGCAGGTGATGATATGGAAGAAAGCTCCACAATAACCGCGGCAAACTACCACATCGATGCTCGTAATCGCCTCACAGCACTTTCCGTAGTGTTTCGCCATGGTAATGCGCCTACGCTTAGATCGTCCGCAAGCAAATTTGTGAGATTCGAGCAGATAAAAGCACGCAAGATGCAAAGTTCAGTAGTAGTAGTTTGCACTTTTCACCAGCAGGTGTCGCTTCAAATAAAAAAATCGGCTTTGAGGGTACTAGGCCTTTGTTGTTTAGGCACACCAATGAAAACAAAACACTCGCGGAAAGTGATATTATATCACCACGATACGAAGAACTAGATTGTACACGCACAGATTTTATTAACGGAGCTTAACTGGATGTCGTAAGATCGGAATCAAAATTTACCGAGTTGAAAACACACAGAAAATAACAGGAAAAAACAAGACCGGGAATTTCCAGTACTAAACACACAGAGCAGTGATGCTAGATTCCATGGTTATAAATGGTTTTTGGTTTCTTATATGACACGATGTTTTTTCTAGTTTTCAATAACATTAAAGTTTTTCTTCTCAAAATATGTCTTAAGTCCATTCGAGGCGATATGAGCCCCACTGATATTTCGAGCATTTTCTAACTAAATTATTCAGTTTTGCATTATTCCTATATGACTGAATAATATGAAATATTATTATATGATGATATGATATGTATGATATGTATGTATGTATGATATATATGACTGAATAATATGAAATCACTTTATGAAGGAGCTGCTTTGGAAAAAAATCAGTCATTCACAAGACTGACAAAATATAGCCTTAAATACGCAGTGCTTCTTAATTTTAATTCATTCTACAGAAAATAATTGTTTCTTATAAATCTTTTATGCTAAAACTGTTAATTGTTGACCCTTCATAAAGCTTCAAGAGAACAGGATATTCTTACCGTTTGTTTACAAGGGTGCTCATACCACTCCGATAGGGTCTTCTTCTTCTTCTTTCCTTTATTTAACGTCGGTCTCTGTTCCGCAATCTAGTGCCAATCACCGACGGCAATCGAATGTGCAGGAAGGCAGCTTCCACACCTGCGTAGGATATCGCACCCATTCAAGCACACACGTGGGCCGGGACCAACGGCTTTACTTCCCTTCCGAAGGAAGACGTGACCAGAGATTTTTATGCCTCAGAAAAATCCCACCGACCTCGGCTAGGATTGAACCCAGACCCATTGGGGTGTTAGAAAGCAGTCACGCTTACCACTACACCACCGGCGCCGGCAAATCCGATAGGGTGCTCATTTTACTTAGATTCAAAAGTTTTCTTTTAACATTCATTTTGTATTCATGATGTAAATAGGGCTTGAAATTATCCGTTTGATGAAAAATGATTCGAATTTCCCACTAAAGTTGGTATCATTAGTGATGATTTTCTTAAGGTGGCCAAATTGCCCCACTTTCCTCTACCTACTATTATACTACATACTGACATCGTAAGTATGGTGTTATTCTCCTAGGAGGTGGGAGGTAAGCAGGAACACGTGTAGCTATGTGTCAATGGAGAGGTGGAAGGATGGAGTTTCCTTACAGATAGATTGACAGACACGCAGCCAAGCTTTTTAGTTTTACTATGTTAAATTTTACTTTCAGCGGAGCTTAAAATATCTGATCCTGGTTGACATTTCATTGGCCTAATACGTTCGATGATTTGACAGATCTTGTTTTTAAACAAAATAACACTTTATTACATTCAAAAGCTAGAGCTATAATCGAACCCTCGCTCGGTAGCATACTCAATAC